TCTTGCCAGAAATAGTGACCTCCACTCTAAGACAAGGTCTTTCAAAGGTTGTGGGAATTGCGCCTTTGCTTCTTGGAAATACAATTAAAGGTTTGTTTTTCAGCCTTTTCTGTATCATTTTGAATTGGGCCACGGAAGTATGTAATGAATTTAAAACCCTCGGCTTTGGATTTTTAGTATTCATTGTGCACTCAGTGGACAGTTAAGGCCACCTGAATTTATAGTCTGAAGGTCCTGTTCCTCCTCTCCTCCTTTGACCAGTTATCCCAGAGGCGGTATTTAATTCTAAATACTGTGCAGTCAAACAGCTTTACATTTCTTTTACCCAATCTTGTTAGTCTTATTTGTAATATATTATCTGTTGTCTCATCTTTATGACTACCCTTGAAAAATTTTACATTTTATCAGCCTGTGGAGGTCATAGAGGAGACTTCCCTCCTCCTCTACACATCGTCTTTTACCCAGATGCCCACTGGATATGGACAAGTCATATTCCAGCTGTACCAAGGCTCCATCACGTCTCTGTTGCATTTCAGCTTCCCATTGGAAGTCTTTCAAGCGGAGAGTCTTCAAGCATATGTGTGTCTGGATATAGTATTAGTGTAAATTCTCATAAAAATAATATCAATAATGGCCACAGGAACAAATAAAGGTCTGCTTCTAATAATACAGGGCAGGTTAAAAAACAAAACATTAAGGTTGGTGTTATCAACTATAAAAGGGAAGGCTTTTATTGTGATGTTATGTGGGTTCAACTTCCTATTGGATGTCTTTCATAAGCAGCCACATTTCCAGTAATCCTGTGATCGACATGTGGCTATATTTTAATGGCTTCAATTTCTGTACTACAGCACAGCGTCTTATTTTTATTTTGTATTTGCATTACATGAATAGTGCATATTAGCAGAAGGAAAATCACAGCATTCCTTATCCTTGATCACAGAGTTTGGAGAAGTGGCATACAAACAAGAAAAACTAGTTTTGCTATTGAGTAACAAGAGAGTGTGTCTACTCCGTTATTTTGGCTTGAGGGAATTATTTGCATTATGTAGATTGACATCTGCTGCTTTCGATCACCTTGTGCATCTAACTGTTTTTTTAATAACGTACAGCATGAAAGACTGCCAGAGCTGGAAGAAAATGAGAGACAAACATCGCCCTCTATTTACAAACCAGCGCTAATCAGATCACTTCTCCACCAACACAGCGCTAGGATCAGCTGGTCATGTTACTGTTATAATAGTCAGGGTAACTAGTCAGAATGTGATGATATTTGTATTTTATTCTTCATTCAAAACACAGTCACAGTGGAGACTCATTTGGTCAGTTACACTATTACCCACAGGACATTTTTCCATGCCTTGTTACATAATTATGTAACAAGCTAATTATTCAGAATTACATTATCAATAAAATATATATATAATGTCACATATTTGGGTGAAAAGATGTTTTAATTTATGTTGCTAAAGCAGTTTTAATATGTTAATAATTCAATAACCTGCATTGTCATCAGAGCTCTTGGAAAACGGCACCATACAAACAGCTGCAGCAACACACAGTAAGCTAGCTAAGACAGATGTGAGCTAGTTTATGCAGAGAGTGACTTTGTGTAAAGGTTCGTCTTCTTAATCCATTATCAAGGCCAATAACAAATGAAATGCACAATTAAATACTGTCATGTCAACTGCCAGTAAATGTGAGCATTTTCTCTACACTCAAATAAATTTCACGCTTATCAGATGCGAGCTGCTTTAACTAAGGTAGGTCCAGCGCCTAAATATAGCAAAGCAGAGAAAAGAGCCACAAGTGAGACACTATGGTCACATGCGTGGAGGACACTGGTATGGCAGCAGATTATCTCCAGCAGCCCTGATGGCTCTGGAACGGGCCGCAGCCGCATACAGTGGACATTAGGGGTAGATTTTCATTTTGTATGTCTTTTACCATGACGTCTTAATTGTGATAAATAATTAAACAACAAACAATCAACTGTGTATATTTATTTTTCATGCCTGACATCATATTGCCTTTTTTGTATTTCTTGAACAGTTTTATGTACTCATAAAAAGTTTTTATTATGTGAATTATACTTCTATTAGTCATTAGGGCTTGAAGACATTTTATGCTTGTAAACTATGAGAATAACAACTCAACTAAATCCAAAGGCCTTTTATTTTGCTCAGACCCTGTTTAAATGTGTCATCTTATTTTTCTTTTTTTTTTGATTTGCAGGTGAACATAAAAAAAAAAGATATTTTCATAATTGCTGTGTCATTGTAGCTGTTGACCAATAGGCTTCTGGACAGTTTAGCTTATTTGCCTTTTTCCTACTCTAATTGTGCTGCCCTCAGAGAAGTGGTACACAGAATACAGAAGGTGCCCCTGCTGCTTTCCAAATGGTCAGCAAGATCATAGTGACCTATGCTGCTTGTGGCAGTAAACTGCTCTCTGCAGGGGGGGAGCAGAGGGGAAAGCAGAATGATCCGTTCTTCAACTTGGCTACTGTGCATGTGGTAGATGTTAATGTACCTGTTGTTTAACAGTGGGAACGGACGTACCCGGTACCGGGTGCGTAATCTTTCGCTGTTCTAGCTGTTTTCTGTCCAAAAACTGCGGCGCTTTGTGTCCACAGACACCGTCTGGCAGGCCGCCATCTTGGTGAGGTCGGCTTCGGTCTTAAGTTTCGTTTGTGTCACGAGCATAGATTGTATATGGTCACGAGGTATGAGAGCCGAAGAAGAGTGTAATTTGGCGGAGGCGATCTTTATCGGTCTCTGCTGGCGACCCGTAGGGGCTACACAGACATGCAGGATATGCCTGAAATCGTCTCGTCGAGACGAACAAAATGTAGGATGTTCTGTTCTCAAGCTGTGGGCCTGTAAAGCATGGGAGTGCTTTTGGTCATTTATATTAAGACTGTTTTTATCAATATTTCAATGTTTTGGAAGCTTTATGTTATGTGGAACGCGGTTGTATGGAGAGAAATAATGTTTTGAAGATGTAAATATGGCCAAAACATGGACATTCGCCTGGTATATTTTTGAAAGATTGTATAATAACTGTTGTATATCAGTTTCTTAGTTGTATTCTAGGTGTATTAGAAGATATTCAGGTGCATTATAATCTACTTTAGGATGGTTTTGACGGTTTACTGCATCAAAATAAAGCTTTTTACCAGGCGAGGATGAAAATATTATATTTTTTCTGTATTTCATATCCATGTAGTCTGTAATGGTAAAGTAAATATGTTAATCTACAATGGATTTATATTCCTTAGCTTCTGACCTTTGGTTGACCCTAATGGTTGAGGAGATATTACAGATTTATTTTGGATGTTATTTTAGGCGTTTTTCCTAGAAATAGGTGCCAGGTAGGAGTTAAAATATGTGTAAATGTTCAACAGTGCTGCAGTGTGAAAGTACAGCAACATTTTAACTATATAAACCAAAAGCCATTAACACCACTCTAGTTTGAATTTTGCACTCAACAATTTCTCTCTTTTGCGCCATACCCTCGTTGCATGAGGCAGCAGATCCACTGGGTGTTGCTAATTAATGGAGGGCATCTTGGAGTCCAAATCCTTTGTTTACTTTTTAGTATCAGCATTGGGGCGTAGCAAAGCCACAAACCTTTGATATGGGCTGTCATCAGTGCATAATCATAATCAATTCAGCCAAAAATTTGACACAGTCTTCTTCAAAGCACATCAAAACTTCATTAATTCTTTTAACCCCCACAGTGGGTATCAGCTAAGCTGAAACGTGAATGCCATAGCAAAGAGCACAATAAAAAAAATGAGGACAGAATTATGCGCTAATCCTTGTCGACAAGAACAGAGCGGGGGCTGCTCTTGTTCCTCTTCAATCAAAATATTGGTTGTGGGTGTGTCAAGTTCCACTAGAATTAAAAACCCTGGTTGAGCTGGTGCCATAATTCTGTTTTATTGTTCACACTTTAAAAAGTTGTCCAATATTTTTCTGTTGCCTTATGTTTGGCAAGTCCGATGGAGAGGACATTAAAAACCTGACAGTGTATTAATTTCCATTCGTGTCAGAGTAGTTTAACAGTGACATACTGCTGTACAGGTTCTTTCTAGATTAGGGTAAACTGAGATGGAAGAACGTATGGATTAACTAAGTAGGCCATGAGGAAAACAATGGGGCTCTGGCTATGGGACTCTCTATTTCCTATAACCACTTGCCAGAGAATGGTAGCACCCTACATGGATCACTTTTTATTTCCTTCCCCTCCATCTTCCGTTCTATTTTCAGCGGAAAGAAACATCCCCAGCGCTTGAATGAGTGACAACGCTTTGAATCCCTGACATTCATTCCAAATATCCCATTCAAATCTCCATAAATGAATACAAAATGAATACTAGAGGGAATAAATTAGCCGCTCGTTAATTAGCCGTTAAACCATCGTTGAAAGTCACATCGGGTTTGTCAATGAGCGGCAGTTGCAGGGGGTCCAAGGCCCCAGGATATGGCACATAGTCTTTGGGTCATGTCTGACGTGAGCAAGCAAGCACGCACACACACCCACATACACACCCACACACACACACACACACACACACACACACCACACACACACACACATGTAGACAGACCCTAATAAGTGTGGCCAACAGTTTCTAGAGCATTGTGCCTCTGTTAATATTAGTTCTGCTCAGTTCATGCTCAGCAAATAAAGTCCTCCCCTTAGTGTAAGAGATGGGGTCAGAGCTGTTTCCTCTCAGAGCTGACTATGGGTACCAGGGGACTGGACTAATTTACACCCTTCAGAAGGAAATTGGATGGGCGTGGAAGGAAAGAAATGGGAGAACGTTCAATTTTGGTCACACTGGACTAAAACACATAAAGATTAATTAGACTGCATTCATAGAAAATACATCACAGAGACAAGTGACACACCATACAATAGAAAACACTGCATCTTGCACATAAACATAAATACAACTCATTTACAAAAATACCCACAGTGTGTCTACTCACATTGTACGATCAGCTCCACCACGGCCTCCCGGGGCTTTACGTTGAACCCATTATACTGGCTGGTCTGGCAGCGGTACGAACCCGTCATCTCCCTGGACACATTTACAATACGCAGCACACCATCGTAGCTCTCCATCTGCATGCTGCCGTCAGGCATGGGCGCCTCCTTATCGGCTCGCGACCACAGAATGATGGGCTTGGGCTTCCCTGAAACAAGGCACTCCAGCTCCACTGTGTCACCCTCGCGGGCCACCAGGGGGGACTTGCCCCGGGGGACTGTCAGGTTGGGGGGAACTAAGAAAGAGAAAAACAGAGGAGGGACTGATATGGGGCTCTAGAAAGTCAGCAGACGGGGTAAGAGGAAATGATCGATTGGGGGGAGAAGTGGCGTGGAAGGTACAGTATGGTGGGAAGCGCATGAGCATCCAAGTTGCAATGGCAATGAAGCTGAGTCTCAACCACATACACAGCTTGTATGGAAGGACCATGTGGATATTAGCAGCAGCAATGGCTCACGGCTGGAACTGGACGACCTGAGCATTTACTCTAAGTAAAACCATCATGGAGGGCAGCGGTGAGGAAGGTAAATGCAATCAAGCAATGGCAAACAATGAACAATGCAATGAAGAGCTGACAAGCAAATCGACTTTGTGACCATAACAGTCGAAGAAAATGATCCTTAATAGCTCTTTCTAACCCAAAGTTTCCTGGTGCTTAGGAGCCACAGGAACTAAACTCAGGATATAAACTAGGAACTAAAAGTCCTTGTTGCGTATCCCTCTTTGCTTTTGCACTGCATCTGAATAACTGTATTGATTAACTGATTAGACAAATTAGTCCGATAATAGAAATATCGTGTTTCAAACACAGCAGATTCATTGAATTTTAATTAATTGTTCACAACTCTGATTTCTGAATACATTTAATGAATTGATACAAAAGAGACTCGCAGATGTGGAAAAACAATCAAAATATGTAGGGAAAAAAACGTCCAGGGAAAATATTTCTTTGCGTTCTTGCTGAGAGTTAGAAGAGCGGATTGAGACCACTCTCATATCTGTCCATTAAATATGTAGCCGTAGCCAGCAACAGGTTATCTTAGCATAAAGACTGCTTGCAGGGGGAAACAGATAGCCCAGCTCTGTCCAAAGGTTAAAACATCCACCTACAAGCACCTCCAACGTACATATGGACAGACTTATTCTTGGCCAGACTCAGAGACCTCTGGAGTCTTCAGGAAGGCAATGGTTCTCAAAGATCTCATATCAAACCAAAGAGATATAACTGCTACATAACATATAAGTGCTACCTCACTAAACAAGAAGCTAATCCACCTAATCTTCCTATAAACAAATTCTATGCACTGTACATCTTCCCACGTAACTATATCTTCGGCATTAAAGTATTATCATCATTTTCAGGTTCATGACATCGCATTCTCATCATTTCCTCATCACAACACTACTTTTTAGAATGATTTTCACCACCATCATTGCAATAATTCATAATTCTTATCACCATCACTTGCATCATTACCATCACTCTCCACAGATTTATACTTCTTTGCCCTCCTCCTCATGCAGCTTCTCAATCTCAGCACAGCATCATACCATTCAGAGCATTTACAACAGAACCCTCCCAAGGGTGATACAGCATTATTTCTGGCCGTGTAACAAAATATGACCCGATAAATATTTTGCCTTTGTTGAACAGACATTTTAGAGCCTGGCTGAAAGTGAACAATGAATAATAAAAGAAGTGCAAAGCGCCAAATTGCTGGACACATTTGCAGGTTTCCTTGAGTGTGCCTATGTGTGTGTGTGTATGTTTGGAAAGCAGGAAAACTAGCAGGTTGGATCAGGCAGTCTGGTTCCTCATCAAGCATGCTGGCCAAGTAAATTTGTTTAATTAGTAAACCTGGCAAATTGCACCGGCTCCTAGAGTGCCGTGTGTGTGTATTTGTGTGTTCATGTATTTTTGTGTGAGTCCAAACCATCAGCAGACTCCAAGACTGTTTAGTAGCTCTGCTCCCAAAAATAGTTTACAGCCAGCAAGTCGAAGAGTGAAAATCTTCTCAGCAATGATGAAAACCGCTTCATGCTTTCCTGATGATTTTCGAATCACTGTCATTCTTCCCAAACAATGCTGCAGCTGGAATGAAGTCAAGCCACACTGAAGTTTCATAGTGATGAAATCACTAGCAATCCCCAGAAAATGAAACGGAGTCCAGCTATATCTCTATTGACCCCATTTCTGTCTGGGTGAGAGGTAACAGTCTCACAGCCATCTCAATTCCTTTTGTCCTCAAAGTAGGTCAAAAGGTACTAACTTACTCAAAATTGTGGCTACAGTATGTAAAGCCTGATGTGAATCACAGATTAATTAAACTGGTAGAAACAAGGAGGTTGTGCCTCACTTAAAAACTAAATAATTATTTGTATACAAACTGTCAATTTAGCTGACTCCCAGGTTATTCACTGACAGAGTGAATGTCCAGGAAGAAGTAGGAGTGGGTGTAAATATTGGAGGGGGCACAATGTCACAGAATCCTCTCTCACTGAACTATACTCATTAAAACATTTTTCCAAATAAAAAACAAGCTTTAAACACAACACCAACCAACACCTCATAAGTTGATATGGCAAACCTGTTAGCAAACAGTGGCCTATTTACAGATCCAGCAGATGTTTTAATAGGCGTTTCTGTTCCAAAATGCCCCTGAAACTCCTGAAGGAAATACCTGGCTCTTTGGTGTCTTTTGGTGCTTGGCAGGTAGTGCAGAGTAGGTTTATCAAAACCTTTCCACTAAAACAGCTGCCTGCTGACTCTGTAAACAACGCTGATTAGAGTGTTGGGAGTGAACCATGACAGTAAACTTGCGGGCTTAAACCAAAACAGTGAGCTGAAAGACACTATAATGCTCCATATAGCTGGGAGGAACTGTAGTCCAGTGATCCTGTTACTACTTGTATTGATCATAGCAGCTTTAAAGCAAATCTACTGTATATTGGAAAGATGTAAGTAAACATGTTGGTGTCATTAACATGGGATAATAAAGACTCATTCACAGGCAAATCTTGGCAACAGATCCAATGAAAGTGGACACTCATTTCACTCTCATACATTTGCTGATTTGTATTCACACAATGTCTTGACTGAGGCAGCCAGGTGTCAAGAGCTGACATATTTCTTTCCACGGCATATTTTCTCCACATTTCCGAATATTTCCTTGGGTCCATCCAGTGAAATGGTGAATTGACAGCAGCGGTGGAGGAGAGGAGCAGTAAGCATCCATTAGAGAGTGGAGGAGAGGTGTATTCACTGAGTTGCCATCATTACACCTGGCCTCTCCACAGCCCAGATTAAGCAGGCAATTACAGTTGTCTTCCTATTGGGTTTGGCAGCATAAATACTGGCTATCAGCTGCCATTGTCTCTCCCCGCATCATCATAGAAACGCAAACAGCCTTACATGCACACAGACACTCACTCATTTCTCTCTGTTGCTTACTCTGTATCTCATTCTTCCTCCTGGTCTCTCTTTCCAAGTGAACACCCTGGCTCTGTGTGTGAGACTGACCACTGAGATGCTCAGTGTGGCAGAGAGCCTGCTACTGGTCTTCACTGTGCTCTCATTGTGCCAGAGCCATCCAAATGCCAGTGATGCCTGCAGGGCATGCCTGCTGTGTGCGTATGCTTGTATAGTGTGCGCTTATGTGGTTTTATGTCTCTGCATGTGCATATGTGTATAGCTCAGTGTTTCTCTTTTCGCCCACGGGTGGCACCCTGCTGTGATCCTGCCTCAGTTCCTCAATGGGATGCTTCTAATTGTTGTTGTTGACTGAAAATACTGCATCTATGTGTGTATTTGCGGTCCTAAATTAGGAACTGGACCTCCTTGTTTGCCCTCAGTAGCTCTGCACATCTCTGGGGTCTCAGCTGGAATGATCCTCCAAGAGTAGAGGCTGATTGCTGGAGCCTTTCAGTGCAATGTGAGCTGACTGCAAAACGTGGAAATATCTGGCACTTTGCATTTTCTTACAGCAATAGGAGCCAGAGTGGTGCACACAGACGTCTTTGAGAATAAACAACACTCCCGCTGCCCCCTTTTTGGGTAAGTGCAGTGACATCACTCCTCATCACCATGGCAACCCAGCGCTCTCTACTACTGCAACTCCTGCAGAGCGTGTGCCTGAATGTGTGAGAGTGTGTTTAGACAGCTTGAGGCCAATGAGTGGGTCACAATGTGACAGGACTCTCTGCTCGTCTGAGTCCTGGACCTCTGGGGACAGAGAGAGGAGTCCCACGGGGCCACTGTGGACATGTTTGTGAATCTGTGTGTGTTTGTATGTGTGAGGGAGAGCTGCAGCTACACCCCGAGTTGCTGATGTGTCATAAGTATCCACAGATGTGTTAAAATTGGCTTAGTACATTGACTGCAGCGACACACTAGTGACCACATTGGCACACTACTGTGTGTGCGTTTTTGAGCTTTATGCCATTACCGAGATTTTATAACTTATCTTGCGATCAATCACACAAACCCCTCATGAATTCATGTGGCTGAGATTGTAGAGCAGCAGGCTATCAATACCAAAACTCTTATGGGTTGCAGTTTGATCTGTGGCCACACTGCTCTCTGTAATGTTGCCCTTCTGTTTTTTACAGTCAGGCACAGTACACAAATATACACCTCCAGTACCACATTCATTTCTGCTGCTAAATAGTGAGCAACTCCCCTGGAAGGACCAGAGTTTTTGTACATCGCTCAAGGGACCTCGACAGTAGTTAATGAGGGAGGGAAGCGTGTTTCTTAGTGTGTTTCCCTCACAGATTTTCCCAGCTGGACAGGGAGGTGATATCCCAGATGGCCACCTCCATAAAGCATGACTTCGGGCAGTGCAGTTGAGGCTATATGCAGGTACGCTGGGCATAATGTGCCAAATTATCTAGCCTTATTAACATATTTTATGGACTTAGCACAAAGTGAAATGTGGTGTGCAACTGCCACTACGTTTCTGCTTGCCACCTTCTTATTTACCTTCATAAATGCACAGTACATGTTTGTGTTTACAGACTACAGTGTTATTTTATTCTGACAGTTTCAGCATCTACCATCTTTCCAAGAAATATCACAGATGTTGTGCTGACATATGCTGCCAGGTGGTTATATTCTTATCATTCTAGAGGTGGCATGACCATGGCATCTACTGTTGTCATATGGCAGATTTCTCAGGACAGCATCCCAGCTCTGGGACAGCTGTTAGGCCCCTTCATCCCAGTTCACAGCTCACTGGGCCTGTTTCCAGACCTCTACTGGCT